ACTGATAAAAACAAATTATTTGCACTAGTTCACATCTCAACACTTTTACAGATGTTGGGTTAAAAGTTGGTACACCACTTCTTTACAATGAAGAGAACAAAAGGGATCAATAATTAAATTAACATTGCTTATACAGTTGCTGCTGATTTCTATAGAACAGCCAAACCAGAATAACCATTCTCAGTTTTTGATTTTTTGCCAGCTATTTACAACAAAAATGATTTTTTCCCCTCAACTAAAACTAATTGTCATAGGCATAAAGACCATACTCCACAAAGTGTCATGCCAGTACATGAGCACAAATATAAAATCAAGTCCTATTTTATATATACATGAAAGACACCAGATTTCACTGTTATGTCATACTTCTCCGCTGCCCCCATTTGATTGTTTCATCCACTTGTTGCATCTTGTTATAAAACTAGATTGTGAATTCTGTGGAGCAGGGTCTCTTTACTGCTTGTTTGCATAACCCTGAGCAAAATGAGGCCTTGACCATTGGCAACTAGGCACGACTGTAATACAAATTATTACTGAGCCATAAGAGGAAGTTTTCCCCACAAGATGCAAGCTGAACCACCTAGGATCATGTTTTAGAATTAGGCTCCATGTTAACTGTTATGCTCAAGCATCTATAAGCCCATTAGCATAGAAGTACACCTACAGAGAGAGTAGGGTGACCAGATGTCCCGATTTTATAGGGGCAGTCCCGATTTTTGGGTCTTTTTCTTATATAGGCTCCTATTACCACCACCACCACCACGTCCCGATTTTTCACAGTTGCTGTCTGGTCACCCTGAGAGAGAGAGAGACTCAGCTCTCATTCACCTATTGCAGTTACTGGGCATTCACCATCACTGTATTCTGTTGAGCAAAGGTCCTATAGCTTTTTCCAATGTCTAAGGTATATCTGTATATCTCCTAGTATTGAAAATGGCTTGTTTTGGGAAAATAAAATACTTTAAGTAGGCCATTACTCCTGGAAGTGAACTAATCCTATTGAAAAAATACTGCTGCTTTTCAATTTTTTTTCCTCCCCCTGCAAAAAATCTTACCAATATACTAAATATCAACCCAAGTGCATTTAAAAAATAATCAGAAATTAAATCCTTGTTACCGTTAATAAATCTTGTCACATGGAGTGTTTACTTTTCATAATATTACCTTAGTACCTCTGAAATGAAGTGCCTGCTTGCACCATTGATTTAAGTAGGACTTCAGGAATAATTCACAGTGTTATTGGGTAATGCTGTTTATAAAGGTACTTGAAACAAAAAATAATATTGTGTGCCTTGTTTGATTGTGTGAGCTACTCTGGCAGTAGTATCACACTGGACTATTTTTACTCCAAATCGTTTTGTACTACACAGAGTCCCATTACAATGAAACTAACGTTTACAACACTGATTTCCATGGCACCGCTTAGAAAGACATTGCACAGGAAGAATAATGTGGGTGTCAGTGCATTTTATATAGTAATAGCAACATTCTGTGAGCAGTTTGAGCAGCTGATTTGCTCCAGGTTATTTTGACTACTGTAAGCAAAGTCCTAGTGAAATGAGTAGGGCATCTGCATAACTGATTACAATGAAACTTTGAATAGTAAGACTGACACCATGTAATACTGTGCAGAAAGATACTGCATCGTACAAATAGAATGGTTACTAGTGCATCCCATGCATCATTCTGTCAGCATATTGAATAACAGTTGCAAATGAAAGAAATTCAAACCCCAAAAAAGTGGGGGAGGGTCTGACTTGAACCAATAAGGCTGCCACTCTGTTTTTAACTCATCCATTGTGGCAAGGTATTGACACACAGGATGAAGATAGGATCGTTTTGAGGTCCCATACGCTTTAACAGCTAGGTGACAAAGGGTGATTTTTCAATGTAATTGTAACATTTATTCCATTTCCTCTGGCCTCCAGCACGTGATCAGAACTGCAAGAAATTATTCTAAATTTAGGTGCCCACTGCCTATCAGTGGGCATCTCCAAGAAAATCTGGGTCCTACACTTTTTCAGGCACTGAAGATATGCTGTGGTGCCTAATGATCTGTACCAAATAGATTAAAGTCTGACCAGAATCCTTCCTGTGGTTTCAACGCACAGTTTTCACAGCGAATTATTACTTTGGAAATATTCTTCTTTCCTGGAGGTACTGCTATTCCTGCAGGATTAAAAGGAAAAATAAGAAAACTACCAAGTCAAGAAGTATTCTCTAGTTTGGTCAAGTTCCTCAGAACAAGCTGAGCAGGTGGACTTGCTGTCCACAAGACTGTCAGTTTATATCCCAATGTGATCAAAGTAGTTTAAAGCTTTTACTTTTGAGAAGAGGCGACACTGCTGGAAGCACTTGTTCAGCCAGCCAACTTCTGTCACTTCCATGAATATGAATAAACTCCAATATAGGACACTGACATTTTGCAAATGTAGGAAGAGCTGATCCTTCAGTTAGTCTTTGCCAATAATCAACCCTACTATTCCATAGTTTGTGACTATGTATTTTTCCCCAGTCACAAGCACCTTTCTTGCCCTCTTTTCAAGAATGTAAGCCTGATCCAAAGCCTATTGAACGAATGCCATCTATGTCAATGGGCTTCGGATCAGTCCCCCAAACAGGTTTGTTTTGTTGCTGTCTTGGATTTATGTGACAGCAAAGAAGCATGCATGGTGGCAAAAAGATGTCAGAAGGAATTGTTTGGGGTCTATGAAAATGAATATTTGATGCAATTTTGTAACCATAATTTGCATGTACACAAGTTACACATAAATACATATGTATGAATGCAAATTTTCACACAGGAAAAGATTATTTTCCCTGTGCTCTGTAATATTAAGGATAAGACTAGTGATGAATCATCTTTAAAAATACTCTTGTCAGGGTATATAAATAGCTCTCTTTTCTAGAATAATTATTACTCAGAAACACTGCTGCTGAAATAACCCAGGCAATAATCAACCTTGGCTTCTTCATCAAACCCCAATAACATCTTTTTAAAGTCTTATTTGTAAAGGCAAGCTGATTAATTTCAAACATTTTCCTTTGCAATAAAAGCTAATTGAAATGATTTACCTGTGTAACTACTTGTCAGATCTTATAAACGCTAGGAAAATGCTCAGCCAGTTACTTAGCTACCCCATTTAATCCACACGTAAAACCTCAGTGGGATCAAAGACTGTGAAATAAAACAACTGTTTTCTAACCACTTTCCCAGTTTTCTCCCTACTTTAAAAACTTGCTTCTCCATTCATCCACACAATAGGGGGTTAACATGATAATAAAGTATTATTAAACACAACAGCAAACTACAAGGACAGCATCGTCTCCATTCCGAATAGACTTCCTCTTAATCTCTCAGCCAGTCCTTATTTTAGTCCAGCTGTATTTGATCCTTTCTGTGACTGGTAAAAATCTAAACATATCTAAAATGAGACTATCCCTCACTCTTTGAATCAAAACTCACTTTCAGGCAAGGACAAAAAAGCCTGACGCTTAGTTCTGCCTAAGCACCGTCGTTTCAAAGTGTGGGCTTCAAGGCCTGTGACATTGCACAACTTCTCACATGTATTGCAGTCCCCGCACATTGCAGCACTCAGCCTCTTTATTGATGGATGTTAATATTTCCTTCCATTTTCAGCTCTCTCTCTCCCAGCAACAAGTTAGGACAGACCTTAGAGATAGCAGAAGGGGGCTAGAGGCAGCCTAAACGTTTGGGCACCAATAATGTGTTTTGGTTTCTTACCAAGACTGCTCAGACTGTGTCTCGCCATTCACATTCTTTGAAGCAATCTTTGGAGTTACTAGACCTCAGGCACTCACAAGCACCCCTACTCTGCGCCTCTCTGCGGACATGGGGAGTTCAAGTCAGGAGACAAACGAAACGAGAATGGCAAAACTAGCCCAACCCACACTCACTCTGAATCCTTCAGGGACATCTCATTGTAACTACCCTTTTATTCCCGTAGAAAGGAATTGTTCCCTTATACACTTGCAGGCTCCACTTCCGATCATTCTCTCATCTGTGTCTTAGATTTCCCTGTATCTCACTGAATTACCTTTACATCGCAGAATTATGGGAGGGTAGTTTGACCCCTCGATGTCCCGTCCCCCCCAATAAATAACATCCGAAGCATCTGCCAGTGAGCGGGGCTTTCAGGTGCCCTTCGCTCTGGCACCTGTTGCACCTCCAAGCCCCGTGCTCACATTCGCCCTTCCCCAGGGAAGGGCTCCTCGGCCGGATCGCCCTTCCTCAGAGCGCAGGTTGCCAGGCTGAGAGAGATCGCCTCTGTGCAGCGCCTTAGCTGCCTTCCTTCCCGGCTCTCCCCCAGCGCACCCCACAGCGCCTGAAATCCGCCACTGCTCTGGCCCTGCGGCAAGAGACCAGGCGCCGCTGCCCGGACCTGCCCGGGGAGACACGGGGCAACAGGCCAGATCCTCGTGTTCTGTGCCCGGACACACGTGCGCTGCCCTGCCTGCCTGGCCGCTCACACGCACTACGAGCGGCTGCTGCTTGGGAAGGCGTTTCACACGAATGACAGCTCTCCGCGAGCAGGCACCACAGCGCCAGGCAGCTTCCCGCTCTGGGCTCTTTCCTTGGGAAACAGCGCCAACCTTCGGCCGCCGGAAAGTTTCCAGCCCCAGCAGAGCTGCCCGCGCCTTCGGAAGAGAACAACCGGCACGTGCCCGCCTGCACCCCGATCGCGCACCCAGCGCACAGGGCTCCAGCAGCCCCGTCAGGCTTGACAGTAAAAGACAGGAGATGGGGGGAGGCGGAACTCAACTGCTCTTTGGAGACAACATCCCCCCCTTCCCGTGTATTATTAGAGGGGACGATAACGCCCACGGGCGGGAAGGCGAGTCAGCCCGGGCATACCGCCCGTGACAAACACCTGCAACAGACGCGCGAAGCAGAACTACAGTCTCCCCGTGCCCAGCAGCCGGGGCTCTGCGAAGCCCTCGCAGCCGGTCCCAGCCGAGCCCAGTCCCGCGGCGCTTACCTTCCTGCACCGCATGGAAGGGGTTGTTGGCTTCTATGAGCTTGATGGAGTACGTGATTTTCTCGCTCTGTAAAATGTCGTCATTGAGGTTCAGATCGGACACCGCCTGCTTGAAGACTTCGTCGTCCTTGGCAGCATTTCCTTCAAAAATGGCACCTGTTGGCATGATCACATCAGAATTTGATCTTTTCCAGGAGGACTGAGGGGTGGGGGAGTTAATGGAGAGATGGGGAGGCTCCATAACTATTCTTGTTTATTTCCCCGGGCCTAAAGTTTCATGTATATACATCTATATAAATCAGCTATTTCTCTCCCCTCGAGTGCAGAGTGTTTTAACACGGCCAATTCAGTGTGGCACTGAGAACGTTGTTAAGCTCGGGTCCATGGGAGAATTTCAAAACAAGTTAACAGAAAACAGCTTCCTTGCTCCCAGGTTTATCGGTGATCGTACACAGGCATTTATTGTTCAGGCGCATTAAATCACACACACACAGTCTTCAAGGACCCATTCCTCATGAGTTGACTGCAATGGATAGGTGCAGCACAACTAGACTTGCATCCTGAAGCCTGTTCTTGCCCAATAGGTTGTGTGCGCTTCACGAACCCTCACTTACTGGTTTTTAACCAAAACCCCTAGAAAAAAATTGCTTTGTGAGTTTGAATGTAATAGAAGGGGGGGGGTTAGAAACACAACCAACTTTTGCTCTGGGTTTTGTCTGCTGTTCACCTAGTTTGTCATTGTTTGGGGGTTTGAATCTCTGCTGCATACACAAACACACACTGATTTAGAGTCAGCCTGTGTGTTCAGTAACCTGAAAGCTTCTAATTTCAGGGCCGTGTTTATGCAGTTAACATGAAAACATCTGGCGAGCTGTGTTACATAATATACTCTGACTACGGGAGCGTGTGTGTGCACATTAGGTTTACTATCTTGTTATGCAGATCAAGGATTTTTTAGGTTAAAGGATAAAAAAAAAAGTCACTTCCCTCCCTGATGCAATATTGCTTATTCACACCAGCTGTGTGTCCTGTACACAAAGATTCGCGTGTAAATTCACAAATCCAAGTTCAGGAGGCTCTTCCCTCTCAATCTTTTGAAGCCCTTATTTCTGGAAGAGGCGCTAAAATAACACTAAGGCTGAAGTGTGGGCAGGTATACAAGCCACGAATCTATAGCTGGCCTTCACCTTGTCCATTGGCAGGCAAAGGGCAAAGAGACAGAGGCTTTATGGACGTCTGGCCTCCACCACCTGCTGTGTCTCTGGACTCCCCTCTCTCCAGCTCCACTGATGAGAAACGGGGCGCGCTTTCCTCCTCTTCAGCAAATCGCGAAAAAAGTCAGAAATCTCGAGTTTGCATCCAAGGTGAACAGCGTGCTCCTGGTGCAGCTGGAATCCTGTACGTGTGTCCAGCGCCTGAGAGGATGAGACGCAACCAGGGCTTCCCCGCCGCCCTCCCCCCTCGCCACCTCGGAATTCACGGGTAGCTCAGGGCTTTCCTCGCACAGCGGGCAAAGTTGACTCGGTCTCTTTTCTCGGCTAGATCCGCAATGCTGTGGGCTCTGGCCCTGGCCCTCAGTCTCCTGCTTGTTTTACAGGGCTGCTGTTTGAGCATCCTCGTTCTCCCCGCCGCCACCACGTCAGCTGGTTCAAAATCGGTCCCCACCCTCATAGACATTTACCCACATGCTCACCCCCGCCCCCTCACGCGTGGCGCCTGGAGGGGGCAAACTTGTTACATTTCGTGTTCATCAGGGCACAGGCGCGCGCTCTCTAGCTCCGGACTAAACTCCCACCCAGCCTCTCTTGCTCCATGGCTTCTCTCTCTCCTCCCTGAGGATTTTCCTCCTCCTCCTCCTCTAAAGGCGGATGGGAATCACTGCTCTTCATTTCCCCGCCACTCTCCATCTCCTCCCCTCTCATCTGCCAGAAGCCCGGGGGATTCGTGGAGGATTTTGTCCCTCTCTTTCCCCCACCACCATCTTAATTCCTGCCGGTAGCTTTCGACACCCGCCAAAAGGTGACTGCAGAGCCTTTGCCTTTTGCCGGCCAGACTTTCCCTGGACATTCCTCTACCCTTCTCCTAGAAGCCACAAAAGTTACCCGTCCTGCATGAATCCCCCAGCCTCTCCTCTCCCATCTTCCCCCACTGCCGAGCCAGGTTTCTCCTCGCTGGAGACTTCAAGCCTTGCAGCCCAAAGGTTTTAATGAGCCCTTATTCAAACCACAACAGTTGCACGCGCGCGCACACACACACACACACACACACACTGCTACTGCGCATCTAGCGTCTCCTAACCCTTTTCCAGCCAACTTGTCCCTCCTGCATTCCCGTTATAGTGGCATCTGCTATGATTGGGGAAGGGGACGCCGGGGGTGGAGGGATTTTTGGAAAGTTTCCCCTACGGGATGGTTCCTAATCTATCTTGCCTTGTTTACTGGGGGTGGCGGGGGAAGAGCGAAAACCTCGCACGCAAACAGGTCTGAGCCCAGCATTTAGTACAACCGGAGAAACGGCAGCAGCAAACCTGCGTCCTGTCTCCAGAGAAACCCCTGCCGCGATTCAGTGCTAACGTGCTCGCAGCATCCTTGCAACCGAAAGGGACCCCACCGTCGCTTCCTCATCTCGCTGCTAACTTTGCAATTCAGAGGATTCGGGTGGCTTTTGTGCCCCCCTCTCGGGGGAGTTAATGGGGCTCCCTCGCCCTCTGCCCGTGACATGATGGGGTTTTAAGGAGACACCATCCCTTTCTTGTATTTGTTGCTTTCTCCCCCCTCGTCCCCCCTTCTTACCAATGTGGATGATGGAGTCCGCCCGTACTGAAACGCACTGAAATATCCAGGGGAAAAGCCAGAGCATCACCACTTCCATTTCCAGCCTCTCGCGGAGCACATCAGCCCGGGTTTGATGGAGAGACAGAAATGGGGGAAAAGAAGAGGGGGGGGAAAGGTACCCAGATTAAAAAAAATATCAGAAAATCCCGGACCCCGAAATCCCAAGGATTTTCCAAGATTGAGACGATGGAGAGAACGGGAAAGCAGGGGAACGACAGCAAGAAAAAGGCTGGGGCTAAAAATATATGCAGATGGATAGATCCTGGGTGTCTGCGAGGAAGCAGCAGCAGCAGGGCAGAGACTTCAGCAGCAGCTCTTCACCACTCCGTGTGTGTCTGAGCCCCAGCGCACAGCAAACTGCGGAGGACCGCCCCCCCCCTCCACAGACCACGTGATTGCAGAGACTCACCACTCAATATAGTCTGGGCGAAACACACGGGGAGATGGAGAGAGGAGCGTAGAGGAGGGAAACAGTGGAGCCCAGTTCCACCCAGGAGCCTAGCCAAAAACGGGGGCTGGAGGGGGTGGCACGAGGAGATGGGGAGAGAAGAGCTCGGATTGCACAGGATGGGAGAAAAGGTCTGTGGCGACAGAGCGGGGCGGGTTAGGAGGCTTTCAACAGGAAGGGGAGTTTGAGATAGGAGAGAAAGATCTATGCCGGATCAGTGAATCCGACTACAGTCTGAGCGGCAGAGAGCAGAGAGGGACGAAGAGGCGCTCTAACATAAAGGGGGGTATCCTAGCTGACCCCAGCAACTCCCCGGTTGCTGGGGGAAAGCGCTCCATCATCACCTGGGGGAGAACAGCTTTCCCCCACAGGCTAGTGCAGATTTTATGGAGATGCACCGCACGTATCCACCAGCTGCCCAGGCTTGCTTTACTCCCAGCAGACGCTATCCACTCATGCGCCTCCATTCAATCCAGCTTTCCCGGTGCTGAAGAGATCAGAGGATGCTGGCTCTAGCCTTCCCCCAGGACTCTGTGTCCCCCTCTTCCCGGCATCACTGTGGTGGGGACCGAAGTTCAGAGCACCGTTAACGAAGTTTTGGGAGCCCGCCTCTATAGAGGGAGTTTAATTCCTTGAACTACCTGGAAATCTTACCGACCTTTTCCTGGCCAGTCTGGAAACTTAGCCTCTGAATCGCAGCCCGGCTGCTTTATTTGGTTTCGGCGTTTGCCCCCACCCGCCGTCTCGCAAGGGAAGCGCTGGCTAAAAGTTTGAAGCTGGAGTAATCGGTTGCATTTAAAATTGGGGGTTCTGCCTCACCCCACGGGGGGGGGGACTTATTCATCAATCAAACAGCTCTGGGGAAAAGGCAAGGGTGAATGGAAGCCGCAGATTTAGAAAATCTTAATACTTGGTTCCTGGTTTTTAAACTTCAGTGACAAAATTGTATCGTGTTGCAAAGTAAAAAGGAACAGGAACGCGCGTGGCTGGTGTAATAAAGATGCTGCTGAGGAGGGTCTGACATTCCAGGGTTCCTGTTCCAATCTCAAGACCAGGATCTTATTTTCCGTTGGCGATCTAACTGAAAACGTGATATTTTCCCGCACACTAGGAAAGTGGTACCACAAAGCTGTCCTCTCTCTCTCAGTTTAAGCTTTCAATGAAATCTAATTCATAAATTGGACATGCTCAGAAGACTAATTCATCCCCTAAAACAAATGCATCAGTGATTGCAGACATCCAAACGTGCTAAGAGTTTAAATATGACAAGGATCCCGGGAAAACAAATTCATTCAGGAGCCTGAAACGTAATTAAAACTACTGCCAGGAAAATGAGTTGAGAGCAGGATGTTACCAAGATGATTAAATCGCTCTGGGGCTGAAGCCGGGACTGCTTTAGCAATAGATACATGTAATGGCAGTGTTTGGACATTATGAGGCGGGACAAAGATGACTGGAGGTCAGTCATCCTGCAAGTGCAGAGACTTTAGGAGTAAAGCGTTAAAGTCAGGTCCTGCTCCCATTGAAGTCAATGACAAAACTGTCACCCACTTCAATGGGAGCAGGATCTGGCCTCTGCTTGTTTGCTATCAAGGAATCCGTCTACAGACTACCTAAATTAGGGGCTTTTCTACATAATATTCCAGAGGTCCATTTCCCCTGTCCTCTCTTGCACTAGTAATTTCAGATCAATGGAGCATACATTTTATAACCATCACCTTGTTTATTTAGTGTTCATTTCTCCAGTTACTTCGGACTAACTAGAGAGATTGCTGCAATGAACTTCTGTAGTGCAGAGAGCATTCTTCATGCAGAGCATAGTACCACAAAAACGCTTGACACTAAGGGGTAGTTAAAACAGGTAAGCTTTCCAGTCGTGGGTAAGGGAGGAAACACAAATGGATTGAGTAGAGTAAAGGAAAAGGAAGATGAAATTGAAATGGTGCCAGGGAGGATCCCTGTTCATTGGTCTGTGCCAGCTTGCTATTGAGTTTGTTATAGTCAATAGCTTTTGATCATGAAGAGGCAGGGGGTAAATGAAACAAGATACACTTTTTAGAATAAATCACATTCTAACTATTCTAATTTACAGTGTTTTGGTTTTACACATGCAGTTTCCCATTGATCAGTGCGAAACGATTAAATACCATACTCAGTAATCCATGGAATAAAAACATTTAAGCCAGATAATTGGCTTCTAGGACAAAGATCAATAGAAACTTTCCTTATCTGACTACTTTAGCAAGTAAAAATTAATTCTAATTTACATTTGTTCCAAATCAATATGCACTTACTGACTGATGCTGTGAAGAAGGGCACAGAGCTATTCTTCTGGTTACCTGTGAAATTAAACACCCATATTCACTGCAGTCATGTGTATTACACTGTAGTATGCATATGGGATTTATGGGAAGAAATTAATTCCATCATATAACCTCTTTGCCTTAGTCCCTCTATCTGGAAAATGGGGTTAACAACATAGCATTGTGGGGGAGGTAGTTCACTCACGTTTGTAAAGTGCCATGGGACCCTCAGACAGAAGGCCCTGTAGAATTACAAATGTCATCCTATCTATTTATAAAGGCATCCAAACACCATTCATTTAGACTTCAAGCTCTTTGGAGCAAGTTTGTCTCCTAGTGTGTGTTTGCACAGTACTACTACAGTGGGTCCCTAACCTCAGCTGGGATCTCTAGGGACTACTGTAATAAGTAAATAATAAAACAGTAATGCATAACTTTTCAACTAAAACTAACGAAGAATCCACCAGCCAAATAAATTAGAAGGGAAATTGAAGTGCAAGCTACTTCATCCACATAAACGATTGATTCCCAACAGGGAAGAGTAGGGAAAGAAAAGAAGGGAGCTCAAACTATACAAAAATAGGCCAACTGAAGAGTTGCCAATATGAATATACTTTTGTCTCTGCTAACTGACAATGTGAAAGACAAATAATGCCTAAAAGAAAGTCATCCCATTATCACTAACATAAAAACAGCTTTACAATTTAAGAAAATGTACAACCTCAGCTAATAAAGGAGACCAGAACTCAAACTGAAATTGTGCTCAGACTGCTAATTGTGGCCCCAAACCAGCACCTGGATTTCAGTTCCCCAGTCTTCCCTTTGAAAATTGGTCAGCCTACAAGGAGAGGGCAGAGGGAAATAAGAAGAGGCCAAACCTGCAGCCACATCACTTGTGGTCAATAGGGCTCTGCATGGGTGCAGGGGTTTACACACATAGAGCTCAATGCAGGCTTGGGGTCTGTATGTAGACTCATTCAGTCTTCCCAAAGCTACCCATGAAAGAGGAGAAGCATCAATGTTTGGTCCAATCCTGCTAGCCCATCATGTGCAGGACCATGATTGATTTAATAGGAATTCTGCACTTGGAGGACTTGTAAGATCAACACCTTAATGTTGGATTTTTTTTTCTTGTTTTAAGTCAAACACTTACAATTATTGACCCACCACTTGTATTTAATTTCTGTTTGGATGGCTTTGCTCTTTACAAAGGGAAACAAAATAAGATTAGAATTGTGTACATCAGAATTTGAATTCTTTAGGCCCCATATAAATAGGTCATTTCAGTTCCTCCATTCATCATCTAGTCAGAAGAGCTCTCATATTTTGCTATGGCTATACATAGTTCAGACACAGCACTGCATACTAAAAAGCTAATCCATTTGCAGGCATTTTGCATAGTAAGAATATTATGACTCACCATAATATTCCATCATGACTGTGTAGGGGCTGAGCCATTGCATATTACATTAGGGACACGACTGGATTTTCTGTGTCAGTGGAAGATTAGCGTATCATTAGAAATAGGTAATGTAGCTACTACACTATTCAAAGTTCAATACCTTGGCAACAGAGGTGGTGCTGAGTGCCATTATAAAGTTTACCTGCCTCTGCAAACCACCTTGGTGATTTTAAGCTAACCCATCATAAGATATTGCTGTATATAGTTCTGTTGTCAGAATGAATGTGAAATGAAATCTATGCTGATGGGCTAGGCTACTCTACAAGCACAGTTTGAATGAAGCTCTGCAAAATTAATTGAATTAGAATTCTTGAACGTCTCAGAAAGGTGAACTGAAAGGCTTACCAGCTGTAGAGGTCTAGAATTCAGAACTCTCTCTCTCTCTCTCTGTCCTGCAAATGCCATCACTGGACTCTACAGCTAGTTCCAATAGTGCTGCCAAAGCTGCAACTGCACAAGGTGCCCATACCATGGGGGGCCTACCAATGTCAGTGTGATGAAAATGCTCCACAGTGTGCACAAAGCTGTTGATGAAAGAGAGATCTGCAACAGGCCCTTGCTAAAAATGGCAGCTAACACCTAAAAGTAAATGATGTGTCTGCAGCTTCCACCTTTTCTTCCTCCCCCCCCCCCATCTTCCATCCTCCCCTTGTGGCTAAACCAAATTTTCCCAAGTGAAAACGGGGATGCTGTCCAATATGGGGTGTTTGGGGGGAAATTATGGAATTTGATTGGGAAGTGGGGGAAGGGGAGAGAGATGCACCAACTCTTCCCTCTCCCACTACCCTCCCCTTTGCAGAATGAATAACTGCAACACTTTAAAA